AAAAAAAATGCCTTCTCTTTCAGAGAAAGGGAAGAGTTTGCCCTGTTTCCCAACTCTACTCATCATTGTGTTATCCAGCTTCATAATTAACAATGTTGCTTTTTCCTGTTGTTACTTTGTACAAGTAACATGTATATGGAAAACCAGAGTGTAAAGACCATGCAAATTTATTGTCTTTCAGAAGCAGAACTCAATTTCTCTCAGTAATGACGCCTTGATTAAGAGGGCAGTTTCCCTAGTAACTGATAGTACCTCTACTCTCCTCTCTCAAACAACATATGCCCTGATTGAAGCTTTGACAGAGTATACAAAGGTAAGCTGAGAGATTACCCATTCTGCCAGCAAGTTAATACTGAAAATACTGAATTATAATGCAGTATTTACCCCCATTATATCATAATTAAAGTGCACTTTTATGAATTGTAGTAACAGAGGCAGTAAGGATTGGAGGTTTGTTGTCCCTAGGCAACAGTGGGGTAGGGCTTACCATTCTTCTACTGTATCAAATACAAAAGTTATTTTTAAACTTGTTAGACTGTTGCTTTGAGTTTGAACTTCATCCTGGAAGATTTGTATCTCAGAACTGGTGCTAAAGAAACCCAGAGCAGTTGTCGGATCTCCACATACTGAGTAACCGGGATGCATCACCCCTAGGTGTATTCCCAATAATTTTTCTCTAACAATTAATTATTCCCTAATAATTTTGAGAACCATTTAGAGATCTTGTTACTCAGTGCAAATAAGAGGTGGGTTAGTTCTTATGTTCTATGCCTCGTTAACCCTGAGTAATATTGAAACACCAGTGATTTATAGAATGGCATATAATTGTGTCAAATTAATTCTTTGCAGGCAGTTTATACTCTGGTGTCTCTCTATAAGCAATATGCAAATCTTCTTGGGAAGATGAATTCGGATGAGGTGGATGCAGTCTGGCAGGTGATAATAGGAGCCAGAGTTGAGGTAAAGATTCACGTCCCTCCCATCCTCAATTTGCCTGGTTTACTCAGAAATCTCTTTTATCATTTGCTTACCTTCCCACAAAGGTGTTGTCTAGTAGAACATTTAGATACCGCTGTATCAAGTTAAATAATACTTTGTTTTTACTCACAGGTGACGGCAAAACAGCAAGAATATCTAAGGCTGGAATCCAGCTGGATGACTGCGTTACGGCTTTCAGAGATGGCAGCAGAAGCTGCATATCAAACAGGTAAGGCACAGTTAGAAGCACTAATGTGAATCACTTAGTCACAAGCAAAAATCATGACAAGGTCTTTAACCAGCATTTAAGCCCAGTTAACCTGCCAGTACAGAACGAGCGCCTGGTTTTCAGAAGGGCCAGGATCTTGTGTCCTACCTGTCGTCAGGTCTAGTGTGAGATGGACCTGGAACTGCAAATGCTGTTCTGATTAAGACTACCTATGCTGAGGCACGATTGACAATTAGACAATTTGAAATGCACTCTTCAGTCTCAGTTCTGGGAATGGAACTACAGTGCCTGGGTCCAGCAGGTCTCACCAGCTGGATTCTGTCTTATTTAGAAGTAAGAAGATTTGCCTTTCTGGGAAATACTAGTCTGAGTCTTTCATCCCCTACACAACCTTTCGCAAAACTGATAACTGTGACCGAGTTATGATCTGACTCGTGGCAAATAGCAAAGTTATCATAGCAGGGAGAGGAAAAAGGGAGGAAGCAGACGGACACACAGGGGCAGTGGAACTGCAAGTGTGGCTTCCTGAGGAACTGCTGAAAAAGATAGTCTGCAGGAGTACAGGAGGACAAAGGTTTCAAGTTCAGCAATGTTTTGTTGGGAGGTTCCAGCCCAGGCCAGGTCAAGGACAGAATGCGGATACAATACGGTGACTGGGCTGGATTTAGCTCTCAAACCCACTAGTGCCTGCTGATTATTCTGATCCAGCACTGGCTGAAACCCACTTTGGCGAGAATTTTAGGGGGCAAAAATATCTCCAAGTAGACAGATTGTTGTATAAGGTAAATGAACAGCAAACACATTTAGCATTCGGATAGCCCCAGAGTTACTGAAACACTGAACATAGTGAGTGCTAATTATGGACAATGGCTTTCTTGACTGAAGGTTTGCTGAGTGCTCCTCTAACCCAAGGTGTTTAAATATCTGCTTTTCAGGTGCAGATCAAGCCTCAGTGACCGCCCGCAGCCACATCCAGCTCGTGAAATCACAGGTGCAAGATGTGCGGCAGCTCTCCCGGAAAGCAGAGACCAAGTTAGCTGAAGCTCAAACAGAAGAGCTCATAAAAGCTCAAGGAGATGAATCGTCATTGCCACAGGGCATTTTAGGAAGCACAGAAGCAGGAGATGACCCTTATCTTCGAGAAGATTGAGAAGAACTTGCGGGTCACCTCAAGAGTAACTGAATGGTCCCAAACTTCAATGTTGGATAGGGGGGAACGTGTTGAAAGAAGCCTGTGATCCCATTTTTGTTTTCCCAAACAGGCTTGCTTTACAAATCGAGTCAATTCCAATATCTGAAAGGCCCCATTCTTGTTTGTAACCTATCATGTTTCTAGTTAATTCAGTTAAGTGCTTAACTATGCAAATGTGAAAATGGCTATCTAGGATAGCATGTTAATAACTGTCTCTCTGCTGGGAGGATCCTACAAATGGTTTGATATGGTTCTGAGAACTCTCTAACAGGGAGACTAATGAGATATCAGCCAAAGACATGTATTTAAAAGTTCATTTTTAATTTGTGAAGAAAATTATGTCTGTTAGTAGATACCTTGAGTAAACTGTGCAAATGTATGTCATTATGAGTGTGCCCATCTGGATGGGAGATTAAGTGCTGTTTTCTATTTGTATTCTTAAAAAAGTGTGTAATGAGGCTTCATCTAATTACACTCAATTGCAGAGGAAACATTTGCTGTAGATGTGAAAACATTCTGTGGATTTACCCGAGCTCTTTTTATTGAGGTTTTGCAGTTTAATATAGTAACCTCCTTCACACAAAAGTCATGCTTCTAATATAGCTGCCTTCCCCAGGAAGGAAAGGAGATTTGGTTTTAAAGATACTGTGGCTGCAAACAAAGTAGTTACAGCCGCAGACTTATAAGCAAAGCATAAGCAAAACTGAGTTTTACACATTTGAATTCTTTCCAGTTCAAGTTTCAAGAAAATAAACTTAATTCTCTCTTTTTGTAAGCCAGATATTTCACTGCAGGCTTCAAAACCACAACTGTGTTTCACTATTTTCATTTTCTATTTTGACAACTTAATGTGAGATTTGCAATATTAATTGTATAGACAATGTAAACTGAGATTGTTTTGTAGAAGGGCATCCATTAGAACTTCATCAGTTTTTGTAGGAGGCGTTTAAACATTATTTTTCAAGGCAAATTAACATTGTGATGCATTACATCTGTTGGGGTTACTGTTACTAGACTGTGATTTGTGCTAAACTAGGATTTTTTTTTCAGCTGTAATATGAACCTTTCTATCCTTACCTCATTTTGCCTGCCTTTTGAACTAATGCAGGCCCAGCTCTACAGCATTGAACACTTACAGGTTAAAAATAGATATTTTGTGAAGTTTGTGTCTATCCTGCTCAAGTAAAAAAGAACAAACTTCCCTTGCTTCTGCTCCTCACTGGATGCTTCTGTATTCCACGAGGATGGCAGAGCCTGGAATGGCAGCACAGAGGAATACACCGGAGTCAGGGGGCCCCAAACCTGCCCTGGGGCCGGAGCGCTGGGAAGGCTCCCGCTCAGAGCCGGGCGCAGCCTCTGGCCTCATCTGCTCCCGCGTGTTTCCAGTGTAGGAACCCGGGCCGAGCCCCTCGCCCAGCTGTGCTCACACACAGCGCCCGGTCTGTCGACACCACCGCAGTGCTGCTCCAGACAGACGGGCATTGAGGGACTTTGGGAAGGAGTCCAGGCCCCTCCAGAGCCGCCCCTCCTTTCCCCACTATTGCACTGTCTGCCCTTCTCTTACTACTTGGGATGCAGGCTGTGGCCACACAGAACTGACCTGCAGATGTGAGAGAAAAATGAGTCAGTTCAGGTCGAAAAGGGAGGAAGGAGCATGGACGGCTCCATCTCGCCTGCAAAATGAAGAAGTGAAAGAGCCCCTCACCTTCATCACAGAGTGAGTTGCTTGTCAGTGATTAGCCAATGCACCTAAGCCCAGAACGGCCACGAGTATCATCACCCTCTACTTCACATTACTGAGTTTGCATTTGGAATCATCTAGTGGAACAGAAAAATGCTACCATGGCAGCTCACATGGCCCCAGACCTGCTCTGTCCAGGCTCTGCTCTCGAACAGGCAGCAGAGCCCAGAGAAGAGAAGTCACCAGGTTTTGCTGCCTGACATCATGCCTCGCTTACAAATCCAACAGTGAATACATTTGAAATGACACGGACAATTTCCCAGAGACAGCTAATTCCTACGCTAATTGTCGTTAGACTGCAGCGATAATCAGCGAGGAGCAGCTTGCACCAAGACCACACTGCAGATGGGCACGCAGAGGCTCACCCTTGGAAGGGCAATCTTGTTCCTTTCAGACAAACACCTACTCACATCTGGCACAAACAGCTCATGAGGGTTGCAGCTCCAACCACAAAATCGTGTGTCATGCAGCAGGGCCAAATTAGGACAACACCCAGTACCTTACAAAGCCAAAGCCACAAGTGTAGTTGCACCACTGTTCAACTTGTCAAACCTCTGGTTTAAAAAAAGCCTGTATCTCCACTCCTTAAGTGCAAATAAGCATTCCTGGGCACACATCTGGGACGTATCCGGAAGCTCCAGCTCACATCTGATGGGCAGTGAACATGGGACAACCAGTGCAAGAAACAGCAAAGACTGCAGCCCAACAGAAACCGGCTTTGCGTTCTGCAATCAGACCCTTTCTCTAAGCCCCAATTTTATGACAGTTTCCTGCTCACACGCAGCACTTCTGAGCTAGTGCCAGGAGCCTCTGACGCTGAGAAGCTTCACAAAAGCAGGCGCCAGCCTTGCCTTCACTTTCAACCAGATTTACAGCCCTCCAGCCTGCCTCACTGCTGCTTCTGTATTAGCACATCCTGCCTGGATGGGGGCAGAGGAGGCTGCGACCCACAGCAGAAGCAGCATCAAGTTTCCGTTCCCACATAACCATATTCTCAGTAACATCAAGAAATCCTTGCAGACACCCAGGACCCGATTTTAGTTTCTCTGCTCGAGGACTCTGAGCTTTCAGAGGAACAAGAATACTCCCGTGCAAACACTTCCAAAATTGTGTTTTATTTAAACCCAATATAACCAAGAGATAGAAACATCCCCCCAACGTCGCCCACGCAACACAGAAAGCTGCAGCCACCACGACTGTAATGAACACTGTGAGTATTCAACATACTTCTGCCCTCAAACCCAACCCGAAAGTGTGTTTGTGCAGAAGTTTCCAGTGCAAGTACACATGTAATAAACATCTGTAAAATCCAAAGGGCTCATGCTGGAACCCAAGCCCTTGGATTTCTGTGGTAAGGCACTAAATTCCAGTGACATTTTCCTCCACGCCATTCCCTGTCTCCTGCTGCCCCCGGGACCTGCAGGGTTTCTAGCCCAGGACAGTGGGACCGCACTGCAGCAGACCCCGCAGCAGGCTCTGCTCTTTCCCCTGCTCCTGCCTTGACTTCAAAAGGTTAGAGGGAATTTCGGGGCCGTCAGGCATTAGCCCCATTCCTCCAGGAGCCGGGCAGGGCCTCCCTTGGTGGCAGCCCCTGCCCCCGTCACCCGTGACCCGGCAGTGCCGACGGCTCCAGCCGTCACAGCGCTCCCGGTGCCGTGTCCGACTGCATCTGCAAGTACCGGTGCCATCCCGTGCCCTCCCCGTGAGAATGCACCCACTTCGGTAACCCGCTAGAAAAGGGCTTATTGCAAGCCCAAACCCTAGGGCTCACACAGTCTGGCAGTAGCGGGCACGTTTCTACCAGAGCGGGATTTCTAGTTTAAGTATCCGGTACCGGTCACCGTCTGCGCTCCCCGGCGCTCGCTTCCAACCCCTTCTCTAGGGGCTCGGCGCCGAGACCGCACATCTGATGCTCTCATCCTTGACCAGCGTCCACATGATCCACATCTCCATGGGGCTCAGCTTGTGCACGATCATCAGTTCTTTGTACAGGCACGGATCAAAAGGATTGAAAGGTCGCTGGATCCCAAAAGTCTTAAAGCCAGCGTGGTTCTTCGGGGTCACTGCCATCTTTGCCAGGCACATTCCCACAAAGACGTCGTCGATTGGGAAGAGCTCCGTGTCCTCCGCCGTGCTCCGGAGGCGGCGCACGGTCTCTCTAGACATCACGTAGCCGCCCCCACCAGCATAGAGAGGGTAGTAGGGGCCTTGGTACATGGACTCTGGAATAAAGTATTTGACCCTGGTGTTTCTGATGGGCCGGGCCTTGGCGATCACGTCGCCGACAAAGAGGTCCTGCGCCGGGTCCAGCTCCCGGAGGAACTCCACGATGTTGTAGGTGTTGACGAAGACGTCGTCGTCGCCCTTGAGCACGAAGCGGGCGTGCAGGCAGTCCTCGGCGAACCAGCGCAGGAAGTGCAGCTCCTTGAGGGTCAGGTTGAAGAAGTTGTCCATGAAGTCCCACTGCACGATGTCGTCGAACTCCTGGCTCTCGCTGCCGGCAGCCCACCAGCCGTTGCAGGGGGTGCGCCCGCACCCTGGCCTCCGAGCGCCCCAGCAGGAACACGAGCCGCACGCGCTTGCTGCCGATGGAGACCTCCTTCCCCCAGGTGTTCCTGATGGCCACCCGCCGGTCTATGTTGATGGGGGACGACTTAATTGCCAGCAAGAGGAAGGTCTCCTGGCCGCACCTGGAGGGCTTCAGCAGCGTGGGGAAGACGCGGCAGTGCCGGTACGTTAGGAAGAGGCGGTGGAGCTCTGGGAGGGCGAGAGAGGAGTTGGCGAGCGTCAGGTTCGGCAAACACCTGCGGGGCTCGAGGCGCCCCGGA